ACTTTTTTTTAACCTCATAGAATCATTTTAATAAATTTAAAAAAAAAAGATTTGGTCAGAATACTTACACTGTCGTCCACTGTTTGGCATAAATCACTTCGCCTTGCTTGTGAAGAGCTTTTCTCTGTGTGTTACGGTGACAAAAATAGCAACATTATCTGTTTTGTCTGATTTTGAATTTTAAATTAAAGGAGCATTTAGTTTTTCTCACATTAAAGGAAAACTTACTCCTACAACAACACTTACTTTTAAATTGTTCACATGCTGCTCTTGGGTTTCGGCAACAGATCAAAATAATATTGACAATCACAGAAATGACCAAGCAGGTTAATGTTATCACCAGTGCAGAAAATTCAGAACCTCCTCTTTGCTCTAGAAAACCAGAAACAATCAAGAGAAACAATTAGTAATTCTGACAAAAACAAGGAATCCTATATCTCATGGTTTATTTTTATAAATAAAATCATACCTGTTTGCAGTTTAGCTCCTTTTCCAAACAATATCTTCCCACATGTGGCCACAGCACAATAGTAAGTCCCTTCTTCTGAGGAGTTAATACTTTTATTGAACTGATAAACACAACTCTGCTGAGTCGCAGCGCTCTTCTGACATTCATGATGTCTGTTTCCATCAGTGTAGATGATGCTAGGATGAGATGGATTTGATCCTTCTCTAAACCAGAACATACTGAGACCTCCAGAACACGTCTTGTTATCAAAATTAGAGAGGAGTGAACAATGAAGAGTGACTGAGTCTCCTGGAGTTGCTATCTTCTCTTGAACAACAGAATAGTTCGATGTTCTCTGGGTGTTTCCTGTGTAATATAAATATATTAATAAATGTGATTATAAAGTAAACTAAAAGACAAATAGTTTGGTTTTCAAAAATATAGACCAAACGTATCTTACATGTAAATGAAATGTTTTCAAAACATGCTCATTCATAAATCATTATCTTTAGTATTTATGTGATAAAGTTTTAGTTGCTGAAGCAAACTTTTATAGAAGAATCACATTATTACCTTTTACTAACAAATATGTCGCAGTCCATTTGGTATCTTGGAGCCACGCTGTGAATCCACAGTGATACATTCCCTCGTCCTCTTGGTTTGTCCTCAAAATGGTCAGTTTGCTCAAATTCTTGTCATACTTAACATCCCATTTTGAGTTGTTGAACTCAGGTGCAGAGGCAGGTGCTGCAGAGTCCTTCACTGTCCAAATCCTTTGCAGAGTGTCTCCAGGACTCTGCTTGTACCAGTCGACTCTACGGCTGTACACGGTCTGAGGCAGGTCACATAGTAAAGTTGCAGGTTCACCGAGTTGAACTGTAGTTACTGGAATAAGTGTGTCTAATTTGAAAGAAAGCATACAAAATCTAAAACATTAAGTCACAATAATGCAGGAAACCACCATGCTAACAGCATACATGTATGGAAAAAACACCCAGAATATAAAAACACTTACATGCTCGATGAATAGCAAGCAGTGCGACCCATATCACAATCATCGTGGCAACATCGCTTTTTAGGGAGCTTGTAGGTATTTCAGTCAGTGTAGGAGGTATTTTAGCACAAACCTTTTGTGTCACATGTGTCAGATGAATCTGATTGGTTATCACAGAATATAGATTCAAGGGCACTTCCTGTCACATTGCTCTCTTCCAGGCTTCTGAGCAGTAAATCACATCTTCCTTATTCATTTGCACATTATTTCATTGATGAAGTAAATTTCTTTCCCAAAAAATGTTAGGAGCTCATTTATAGTTATTTTCCAAATGATTTTACTAGTCTTTTCTTCCCGCTACTGTCAGTTTTGATTTAAGTGTTTCTGGATTCATTCCTTGATTATTTCCACTTGCAAAGATGATAAGTCATGATGTCAGCTTAGAAAGTTCATTTTTTAGGTTTATCTGGGTTTAGGTGCTCTGCCTTACCTAAAAGTGAAAACACTTAGATAAATGTTGCATTTATGTATACAGCCATTAGAAGTTCCTGAATTCTAAAACTTAACTTGGTCTCAACTACAGCTTGTACAAATTACTTAGTGCCATTTTCTGATGACAGATCGTTTATTGAATCTCAGAGCTACTTAGTGGGCTAAACATATACCCAGCAAGAGATATCCTGCTATTTTGTTTTCTTGTAATTCACTGTGGAAGTGTGAAAACTGCAGTGGACAAAAAAGTAGCATATTTATGGTTTATTACAAATCACAAAAAGATAAAATACTTCACATATTCTAATCATTGATTCGAGAGGAGACACAAACCCAGCCTAAGATGGTCACATGCTAGTTTACTCCTAGTCTACTCCCAATGCCGGAAAAATGGATGGGCTGCATCAAGAAGGGCACCTGGTGTTACAACGTTACCAAATAAAATAAAATGTGGACAAATTAACATAATTGACATAAAATGTCTGTTTTTCAGAAATTTCTGTAGAAGAAGAAAAAAAACAAGAACTTTTTATGTCATTTAGTTGTTTATCGATTAGCTAATTACTTCACACTCACTGGTTTAGTGTGAAGGGCCATGATAGAGCAGAAATTCACATTTTGCAAAGCTCTAGCATGGGCCAGATAGATGTCTGTGCTGTGTCGATGCTGGGGCCCTGGGCAAGATAGCGTACAGATGCAGCGACTCACTGCTCCTAACGTTGGGTGCTTTGTTTTTTACTTTTTCTACGTTTATATGTGTGGGTGTGGGTGTTTTTTACTACTATACATCGAGTAGATTCTACTTACAGTCATCAGTTTGGGATTACGCTGTGCAAGGAACATTACATCAGACTATCACCACTTCCACGGCATTCCCATCACTCATGAACAAGACCCAGAGACACTTAAACTCTTCCACTTGGGGCAAGAATTCGTCCCTGACCCGGACTGGGCACTCCACCCTTTTCCGGCTAAGGACCTTGGCCTCAGATGTGGAGGTGTTGATTCTCATTCCCACTGCTTCACATTTGGCTGTGAACCATTCCAAAGTGAGCTGGAGGCCATCACCTGATAAAGCCAACAGAACCACATCATCCGTGAAAAGCAGAGATGAGACTCTGAGACGACCCAAGTGAAAGCCTTCCGGCACTTCGCTACGCCTAGAAATTTCCGAATAGAATTGATGACAACGAACAGGCCTGGCGGATCCAATCACCCACCAGCTGAAAACCTTCAGGACTGTCTCTGGCTTAAGGAATACAATTTGTTTTCACCCTGGCTTGTTTTTATTATTTAACTTTTTTGTGTAAAATAGTTCATTTAACAAGATTTAAGTGAGTAACTTTTTATTCATTTTAATGCAACACACAATGTGACTGAGATGTGTTCAAAATACAAAGCTTACAGCTAAAAACATACAGGTTAAAGTCAAAAACCCCACAAACATTAACATTTTGTGTTATTTTATTGTAAGTAAAATACCTTTCGGGGTCAGCACATCAGATCATCTGCCTCCATCTCACCCTGTCCTTAGTATCCCACTGTGTGTCACTGGAAGACCTCTAATTTCCTACTTCTAAATGTGTCCAACCAGATGCTTATTTGGGATTACATTAGCTTGCTCTCCAGTAATAGTTTGAGGAGTCATTTTTTATCTGTGTATGTCCTCCAACATCCACATTAAACACATATGTAGAAAATAGGTAGAAAATTAGAAACCTCCTATAGAGATTGAAAATGTGACGTCATTCCAGGGTAAAACCGCAAAGGATTCTGGGAATGCGTGGCAAGAGGTACTAGCGCACGCAAGCTTTCACATGAAAACTATCACACAGCGATAAAAAGAAACACAAAGAATGGCAAGAAGCTGTTGTATTATTAACTGCAATAGCCGGTCACATGACAGCCACGGGAAGCCGACGGGTAAAGAGATCAGTTGTTATCGGATTACGTCGTTGAAGAGAAATTGTTCAAGCCATGTTTCCGATGCAACAAAAAGCTGTGGCCTGGATTGCAGCCTTTCGAAGACCAAATGTAACGTCTCAGCACACTCAAGCACTCACGTGAGTCTGCTCCAAGCATTTCCACAAAGGTCAGTCTTCTGTTGTAGTTGTTACGTAATTTATCATAACATAATAGTTGATGTAGGTTACAAATAAGTCTTATATTGATTTGAATTTAATTTGTTGCGCTTTGCTGCTTTGTTCACTGTGGCTTTGCGGGCTAATGTTTGTTGTGTTTTGTAGGAAAACCAGCCTACAAAATGCAGGAATGTGATCCAGACTGACCCCTCTATCAACCTGGTCATACCGAGTTTAAAGCTGCTACCACAGCGAGATTTGATCGGTTAAGAGAGAGAGCGAGATCAAAACAGCCACAAAACGTCCCGCATATATGTGCCCAAGGGTTGTATTGAAGCAATCAAGTGATAAATAAATGTTTTCCAATATGTTGTTTTGTTTTTTTGTTTTTTTGCATTGATTTGTTTTACACCGAAGCAGCTAATAAAGCATGATGAAATACAATTTAGTCTCTTTCTTGTAAGATTCTATATTAGAATGCAACAATAATGCCAGTTATAAATAAAGACATTAAATTGAATGAATTACGAAACATTGTATCATTTTATTTCTATTAGATCTGAAAATGTTGTGTAACACTACAACCTGAAACGACAAATAGATTGCGTTGGCCTGTACAGGAGATAAAGGAAAAGAATTTAACAACAGCTGTGAAATGGAATAGTCCAAATCACCAAAGTAAACGGGACCTGGGCTTGTTGCAGGGATCTGAAGTTAATAAACATCTTGTGAGTGTATGCACTCACGCTTAGGACCATATAATAATAAATATGTGCGTGATGAAAGTTGGCAGCACGCCAACGTGCTTACTCCACTCTGTATGCTCGTGTGGGTCTGACACTTTCACTCCTTTGATTTTTTCCTCGTCCTTTTTTTTTTTTGCCTTTTTGTCAAGTCTTTGTACGGACCTGCCGTGTTCTCCGTCATTTTGTACATAACTGTTTTTGGGGCAAATAAAATGCAATTAGGGATTAAAACCGCAGAATTAATGATTACCAGATCTGGAAATGCTGGCGCTCGATGCAGTTTTTTAATTTTATCGCCACGGGTACCCAAAGCAATGCGCGAAAGTTACGTGGTCTGTCAATCTCTATTTCAAAGTGATGCTGAAAAGCTAGTTCATACATGTATTACTTCTACGTTGGAATTACTGCAATATTAATATAATATGCATATTAGTATTTAAACTATTATATAAATGCTCTCTGCCTTCAGTTGATCCAGAATGCTGCAGCAAAATTAGTGACTCACATACAACCTAAAATAAATCGTCTGCTTTGCCCTGGCCACTTCTAAACAACAACAAAGGCACCACTTAGACATGCTTTTACCTTTGCTGATTCTAACAATTTATTCATTGGAAAGTCCCAACACCAATATTTTAACAAGATTTTTTTTTTTACTGTTTATTAATAAAAACTGATTAAAATGTAAAAAGTATCCAGATAATAAAGTTTATTTATGTACATTCATAACAAAAAAAGGGGGAAACTATATTCACATAAAAAATCTCATAATAGATGTTAATCCAGGGCAGGAGCCTTTACAGCAGCATAGATGCTGTCTTCCTCTGTTGGTTTTTTATGTCTTTCCGCTGATTTACTCACTTTTTTAAAAGTTGCTGTAGAATATACCAACGTATCCTCATCTGTCTGAGGAAGCAGAACATGTTAGAGATTAAAACATGCATATAACTAACAGCTTTTTAATATATTTAATTACCTGTGGGATTTCCTGATCACCACCTGAAATTCCATTTGTTTCCAGAGCAGCTGCAGTTGTAAAAAAAACAAAGAGAGAAGGAAATAAAACAGTCAAATGAGACTTTGCCAAATAAGGTTTGACAGATTGATGTACAGTGTGTGTAATTTTGCTTACCATTAGAGTATACATGTGAATTCTTCTTTAGTTTTTTGATGGAATAGACTAGAACGGCTATAACAATCACACTTATAGCCAGAGTAGCGATAAACAGGTAAAAAAATATGTTGTCCCTTTTTGATTTGCTCCTGTCGACTGCTGCCACGGAAAGAAAAGACGTAAATCATGGATATTAAAAATGATTAAAAGTATTAAAAAGTTTGGGGGGTATTGTTTTGTTTTGGGTGGGTTTTGGTGGGCGAGGAGTTGATTAGGTATTACAGAATCTTGGCTAAAAAACCAAAATATAATCAAATGCACATATTTTCTGTTTCTTGCATTATATTAAAATGTGATAGAATTACCTGCAGTATCGCCTTTTTTATCCTCAGAAAATGACTCTACGCACGTGGCCACTGCACAGTAATATCTCTGAGGATCAAAAGAGCTGAAGTTTCTGAAGTAGCTGTAGAAACATGCCTTTGCTGAGAGTTCCTCTGGATTCTTTTCATATCCATCTTCACCATTAACACAACTATAATTTAAATCCAGATGTGACTGATGTGATTTGGCACTTAAACAGAGCATCCTCTTATCAGTGGGACAACTTTTATTCTGAAAGTCACGGAGGATCGAACACTGCAGTGTCACTGTGTGCTCCAGATGGACAGGATCAGATGGGAGAGCTGTAGTGAAAACAGCTTCTGGTCCTGAGAAATGGAAACAAATAAAACAATGATACCTTGCATCTGTCCATTATCAGCCATTTCATGTTGTACAAATTCACTCTTCTTCTGACCAGATGTCGTTTTCTGCACCACCTTTCCAATGTCCTTACACTTATTATGACACTGTGTTTATGTGCTAAAAGAGTCCTTGTAGTCCTTGTTACTAAAACCAAAACTGTACTCGCTACATTTAAACCTTTTCCCCTTAAAATGGTATTAGGATTGTTGAGATGTTTAACTTTGATCTCAAATTTTGACTTCTTCAAGTGATCAATAATAATATTGGGTATTTTTCTCAGTGTGGACTTAATACTCTGTTGTAGTGAACTCATACATACACACATATAAAGAAATAAACTATCGAACCTTACACACACAATATGCAAACATGGATTTAGGAATTTAAAAAAACTTACGATTTTTTGTCTACTTACCTTCTACTTTCAGGAATGTTCCTTTCAAAAATATTAGGTCTCGACTTAATGTTTTCACACAGAAGTAAACTCCTGTATCACTTTCCTGTACTTTTGTAATATATAAATCAAATCTTCCATCCTCTGTTGCAGTTCTAATGCGCTGATCAACC